TTCTTTACATTGTTTAAAAATATTTTGTGTTGATAAAGCCACTCATATTGGAATGCAATTTTTATTCAGTAAACTCTACATGCTTTAAATAGTTCACAATTTGACAGTTTGATATATCTGGGTATACATGTACATATATGTGTCTGTTTGTTATCACTTACATCTAAAACTTTATTGAGATTTATTCTCAGCTCGTTATCTAAAAGTCAACAACATAGTCAAGATCAAATTTTCATTTACTCTACCATTTTATTTTGCCAACTTATGATTCTTTCACTTCTTCCTTTCTTCCCTTTAGTGAGATAACTAATTTGCTTTGTAACACTATAAGTTAGTGTGCATTTTCTAACATTTTATATAAATAAAATTGAATTATGGGGAGTATTTTACCTGACTTCTTTTACTCAGTGTAATTATTTTATACTCTTTCCCATTCTTTCAGTTTACAGTTATATCAATAGTACATTTTCATTTTTTCTTATTGTTGAATAATATTCTGTTTTAAAAGTATACCTCTATTTATCCATTCACCTTTTGATGGAAATTTAAGATGTCTCCAGTTTCTGAGAAACTCAAATGCAGCTACTATGAGCACTAGTGAAAAAATATTTGTAAAGCTTTAAGATTTCATTTCACTTGGCAAATTTCTGAAAATAAATGTGCTGGATCCTATAGTAGGTTTACATATCAATGTTTTGAAACTTACAAGGTCTTTTCTAAAGTTGTGCATTTTATATTACATGATCAACACCTGAGATTCCTAATTCCTCCACTACCTTGCCCAAGTCTGGTATCTTAGGCACTTATAATTTAGACATTTCAGAAGAATTAGAGTAGGTATCTCACTGTTGTTTTAATTTTCAGTTTCCTGATTTCTAATCATGTCAATCATATTTTTATGCACTCATTTGCCATAAATATAAGTTTCTTAGGGACATACATGCTTAAGAATTTTGCCTGTTTTCCTGGATCATTTGTTTGATTATTGATTTTTGAGAATTCTTTATATAATTTATCAGATAAAGATCCATTTCCTCATAGCTTGTAGCTCTCTTGAGAGTGTCTTTCATACAACAGAATGGTTAAGATTTTATAACTTCCAATTTAATCATTTCTTCTTTTGTGGGTTGTTTATGTGTAATAATTAAGAAATCTTTTTCTACTGTACTGTCACAAAGATTTTCTTTAAAATTCACTTCTAGGGATTCTATAATTTTACGTTTTATATTTATATTTCTCATTCACTTTAATGTAGTTTTAGTATGTAGTTTGAGGTACAAGTTGAAATTCTTTTTTTTTGTTTTGTTTTATTTTTAATGATTACGCCTGAGATTCCCAGAGCACTGTTGATTGGGAAGATTGTTCTTTGACTTTTATTGAAAATTGTTTTTTTTTTTTAATTTCTATTTGTGCCTGTTTTTGGACACTCTCCAAATTTCATCTATTTCTCCTTTTTGACAATTTCACATGACTTGATACTTTGTATAATTTCTGAAATCAAGTAATGTTAACAATTGTTAAGAACAAAACTTTTCAGAGATGGTGTATTCTATATTTCTTGAATTTTTACATGAATTTTAGAATACAGTTGTCAATTTCTGCAGAAAAGAGCTGCCTTCACATTGGAATTGCCCTTATCCTACCAGTATTGAGTTCTCTGGTGCACTTATTTACAAATTTTAAAATTACTCTTAGAAATGTTTTGGAGATTTACATGTATAGAACTTCATAACTTTTGTTAATACGTATTTTGTATTTTGTTCTTTTTATAAATGGTGCTAGTTTTTAAGTAAGAAATTCTAGTATATAAGACACAGAAAAATAACTGTTATTTGTATATTTATCTCATACTTTGCAGTGTTGCTAAAAATAACTATTAACACTTATTAGTTTTAGTACTTTTACCCCCTGAATTGTCTATATACATTATCATGTAATCTGGAGATAAAGATTTTTGTTGGGGGGGTATGGGGGGAGCCTGGGGTTGTGGCTCAGTGGTAGAGTGCTCCCCTAGCTTGTGCAGAACCCTGGATTCATTCCTCAGCACCACATAAAAATAAATAAAGGTATTGTGTCCAACTGCAACTAAAAAATAAATATTAAAAAAAGATTTTTGTATCTTCTTTTTGAATCTGGGTATTTATCCCCTCATCCTAGAATAGTACTCAATTAAAATTTTGACTAAAGTGGTTATTATGGATATTCTTTTACTTTTTCTTAACCCAGGGATTTAAGGCTCTCAATCTTTCACCATTTATAATGATGTTATTATTTTTATAGGTCTCCTATACCAATTTGAGAAAATTCTTTTTTACTATCATTATTTTCAGTGTTTATTACAAACTTCTTAAGGCTGTGGGTTCATGTTTATGACCCAATTTGAGAATTTTCAGTTATTATTTACATATTTTTACAGTCTTAGTATTCTTTCTCATCTCCCTTTTGATATAAACTTTGTATGCTTTGCTCTTATCATGTGGGTTACTGAATCTATGGTTTCTTAAAAATCTATAACATCTCTGCTATTCATTTTGGGTAAATTCTACTGTTCTACTTCATCTTCATTAGATCTATCCTTCCTCATCTCTATTTTTGAGCTACTACAGAAATTATTTTATTATGTTTATTATGTTATTTTGTCTCAGATCTATAATTTCCAGTTGGATCTTTGTTATAACTTGAAATTTCTTTGCTGGGATTTTGTAGTTTTTCATTTAAAAATTATTTAAAAGATTTGTATTTCCTCTGTGAAACATTTTCATTAGGATTGCATTAAAATTCTTGTCAGACATGTAAGTAGACTTACATTTTGGTCTCCCTGGGTGTTTATACCATCTGTGCCTTTGCCCATATTTGTTGAATATGACTGTCCATTGGGGTGGACATACAGGTGAGACCACACCTGCCATTCTCTCCTAACTAGGAAACTCAACTCATATGTGACTAAGACTAAAGATGTAGAGATTTTTGAGTACTCTGCTGTCAGTACATTTAGCAGGTAAATTATTTCTTTTATCAACTTTAAATTCACAGAGGATATAGGCATCCATTGAATCTCAATTTCACTTGCAGCTGGAGAAAAAATAGTATTTCCATAGGTTTTTCAATTTCCTCTCACTTAGAATTACCATCATTCTCACATTTCATATGAAGAGTATGTCGTATATACTATTAAACAAATATCCAACTGTTCCACATATATTTGGGTATGATCATACAAATTGTGGTAAGTTTTTATTTGAATTACTGTCTTTGGAATAGAAGAAGGTCTTAGTTATATAAATATAGTTTTCATGTCAAAATTGCTAAGAAAAAAATATAGAATCAGATATCACAAATTACTTTGTACTAATTAAAAGGGAAATTCTCCCCTTTTAGTATTGCTGATACAACAATGATTTATGTTAGCTAAATTAAATTCACATAATAGTCATATACTGAAAAAAAATTGTCAGAAAATTTCAACATGTGATTTATTTCAATGTTGTTAGTTGATTATCTTTTCTCTTTCAAATTGATATTTTCAAAGTGATACTCCTGGTTGACACATGATTTTTATTGCATTTTTGCCAATTTGTTTATCATGATAGGCAACTATGTGTCTTAATAGTTTTCTTTTTTAGCAAGAATTAATTGCTTCACAAAGAGTTTTGTGCTCTATGGTTTCATTTACAATGCATATTTTGTTTTTTGTGGTGCTTGGCATCGAACCCAGTCTTGCACATACTAGACAAGTGTTCTACCACTGAGTCTCACTCTCGTATCTATGATATGAATTCTACACCATGTTCAAGGCTATTTCTATGGCTGAGATTCCATGCTGTTGTTGTCCAAGGAGGTGGAAAGAGTTTTTCCAGATTGAGTGTCCGGGTACCACTAATTAGGCAAAGGTATGCTTTCTTACTGGTGACCAAGAGCATTTCCATATCAGTGCGTGTTGTGGTGAGTTGCCCCTTGCCAGTGAGGAAGTGTGGGGGAGCGTTAACATGGGGTTTCCCTCTTAGACTCTACCCACCAATATGAGATCCCTGTGTGAAGGGAACAAGTGGCTTCCCTCACTGCACACTTGTGATAAGAAACTTGCCAGTGTTCCTGGTCATACAATGCCTCTAAGTAGGGAAGTATTTTCTGATCAAGTGGAAAGTTCCAAGTAAGAAGGAGTTTTTCTATATGTTTCATAACAAGTTATATTTGCATGTTTATGAACTGATTCTTCACTAACTATTCTTATTCCTCCTCTTAGTTTACATGAGCATTTAAAATTACAGATATATATCTACAAATAACTCTCCTACATCTTAGTCTTCCTTGAATTTTTAATTTTACATTAATAACATTTTTTGTGCTTTCGTTTTGGGAGAAATTGACATTCTTTTAACTAGACCTTTTCATTCTATAATTCACGAAATACTCCAGGTTTACAGGGAAAAGAGCAGGTTTAATGATGAAATAGGAAAATAATGCCTATATTTTGTACACAGTTTAACTGAATTGGTGTGATTTTGTTTAACTTGAATTAGTGCTTTGATCAATATTTTCAGCATCTTTTTTTTCTTATATTTGCAAAGCTTAGCCAATATTCTGGATAATCAGTGCCAAATAATTACTAAATTAATAAACAATGACTTGAACATTACATCTGTCTTTCTGTAGCTTCATGACATATTGCCTAGTTTTTCCAGATTCCGTGTCCTGGTACCACTAATTAGGCAAAGGTAGTTTAGACCATAAGCCCCAGAAGAACCTCAATAAATGTGAATGGAAGTGCACATTGTATGTGAAAAGGAGACCACCCAGAAAAACAGTGAGGATGGACATCAAAAGCTGTATTATTACAATGTAGAGTCATTGATTCCCTCTTATTTCAAAAAAAAAAAATGTTTCTGAGCACTAAAGACAGACAGGAGGTATAAAAGACAACCAATAATTTCAATGTTTCGTAATCATATAAAATTATAAAAATAATGATAAATGTTCATTTTAATTCTTTTTATTTTTAGGTTCAGGTTCTTCGAAATGCTGGAGAAGAAGTGACTCTAACTGTTTCATTTTTAAAACGAGCACCCGCCTTCCTTAAACTCCCATTGAATGAAGACTGTGCATGTAAGCACTTTTAGAGAATGGATAAAATATTCACATGATCACAGTCATTCTATAAAGCACTATTTTCTGATCAATAATTGGCAATTATTGGTCTGAATATTAGGATGACTACATAAATATTGACATTTTAATCATAAGGTGTTCTACTAAGGCTTATTACCTTGCATGCACAAGGCCCTGGGTTCAATCCCCAGCACCAAAAAAAAAAAAAAAAAAAAGGCAAATGTTATTTTGTTTCAGAGTATTCAACACAGTCCTTTTACAACCTGTAATTGAAGAAACATTGTTTGTTTCAATATCATAACAAACATCATTTTGCATTTTGTATTTGTATTGAATTTTATTCAGAATATTTGATAAATACATTTTATTTAGCTGAGAAATGATGCACTTAATTAAGTAGGAATTTAGACATAAGTTGTCCTGAAAAAAAGTAGAAAGTTTGAAGGAAGGATTTTCCTTTGTGGAAATGTAATAATTTAAATAAGAGTTACTTAAAACAATTCTTTGTCAGATATATTTTTTCTCTTTTTTAATTTTTTCTAATTAGTTTTACATGACATCAGAATGCATTTCAACTCATTGTACGCAAATGGACCACAACTTCTCATTTCTCTGTTATATAAGATGTAGAGTCACATGATTTATGTAGTCATATATGTAATATGAGGGTGATAATGTTCCTTTTATTCCAACATCCTTCCCCTCCCCTCATTCCCCTCTGCCCAATCCAAAGTTTCTCCATTCTTCCCTAGCATGTCCCTCCATCTCCGCTCCATTATGGATCAACATCTGCATATCAGAGAACACATTTGTCCTTTGGTTTTGGGTATTAGCTTATTTTGCTTAGCCTGATATTCTCCAGCTCCGTCCATTTACCTACAAATGCCATAATTTTCTTCTTATTTAAACCTGTATAATATTCCATTGTTTATATGTACCATATTTCCTTTATCCATTTATCTGTTGAAAGACATCTAGGTTGGTTCCATAGTTAGCTATTGTGAATTGAGCTGCTATAAACACTGATGTGGCTACATCACTGTAGTATACTGATTTTTTAAATTTTTTTTTTTATTTTTAGTCCTTTGGATATAAACTGAGGAGTGGGATAGCTAGGTCAAATGGTGGCCCCATCCCAAGTTTTCTAAGGAATCTCCATACTGCTTCCCAGAGTGGATGTACCAATTTACAGTCCCACCAGTAATGTTTGAGTGCACCTTTTCCCCCACATCCTCACCAACACTTATCCTTGCTTGTATCCTTGATAGTTCCCATTATAACTGGAATGAGATTAAATCTTAAAGTAGTTTTCTTTTGCATTTCTCTAATTGCTAGAGACGTTGAACACTTTTTCTTATGTTTCTTGATCAATTTTTTTTCTTCTTCTGTGAAGTGTCTGTTCAGTTCCTTAGTCCATTTATTGATTGAATTGTTTGTTCTTTTGCTGTAAAGTTTTTTGAGTTCTTTATATAACCCTGGAGCTTAGTGTCCTGTCTGATGTGCATGTGGTAAAGATTTTCTCCCATTCTGTAGGCTCTCTCTTCACATTACTGATTGTTTCCTTTGCTGAGAAGAAACTTTTCAGCTTAAATCCATCCCATTTATTGATTCTTGATTTTATTTTCATACTTTAGGAGACATGTTAAGGAAATCAGATCCTAAGCTGACATGATGAACATTAGGGCTTACTTTTTCATCTATTAGTTTCTTTGCTCTTTTTTCCTGAAATGAAATGCATATCCTCTATTACTTTTCTCAAAATTGATAAATATATGTTTAACTGAGGAATAATCTACCTTCAACAAAATTCAACAATCGTAAATGCACATTTTGTTCAGTTCTGAAAGAGAAAACACCTTCTTAATGCACATTCCTTTCAATCAGAACATAACCTCAGTAACTCTTTCCAATAAGCAACAGCCACAGGAACAAACATTGACATGATTTCCCATCACTATTTTGCCTTTTCTAGAACAATTTGGAATGAAATTATACTGTGTAGTTTTATATTTTTTATGTCAGGATTCTTTTATTATGAATAATTTCTTTTAGATTCACCAAAGCTATACATTTCAGTAGTTTGTTCATTCATATTGCTATGTAATATTTCATTGGATGAATGCATTTAGGTTTATTAATGTAATCTTATGTTGAAAATACCACATCTATTTCCAGTATCTTGCTATTAATAATAAAACTAGTATAAATGATCTATATAGGTCTTTGGACAACTGCACAATTTTATTGTACTACAATAAAAATCTAGTGAAGTAATTATTAAGTGACAAGATGAATGAATAATCATCTTATTAATAAATTGCGACACATATTTCCAAAGTGAGCATATCTCCATTGTACTAAATAACACATAAGACTTCCCTCTTATGCATTTTAAATGTACAATACAGTACTGTTATTATATGCACACTGTTATGCAGCAAATCTCCAGAAATTTCTTAGGTTTTAAAACTGAAACTCTGTATACCTTAAACAGCGGCCTCTCATTCCCCCACCTCAACCCCTGACAGACAGGCATATAGTTTTTATTTTTTGTAGTATCTTTATCTGACTTTGGCATCAGAATAATGCTTGTCTTGAGATTGGAAAAATTCTCTCCTCTTCATTTTTTTATTGTTAATTCTTCCTTAAATGTTTGGTAGAGTTCTCTAGTGAAACCATCTGGTCCTGAGCCAATCTTTTTAAAGATGTTTTAAGTTCATGATCCAATCTCCTTACTGGTTTTGTCTATTCAGATTTTTCAAAATTTCTTCATTATTTAGTATGAATGGGTTACATATTTTTCTTTTTTTTCTTTTCTTTTCCTCCTTTTCTTCCCTTTCCTTTTGGCACTGGGGTTGAACCTGAGCACTTTACTAATGAGCTGTATAGCAAGACCTTTTTATTTTATTTTTTAAATTTGAGACAGGGTCTTGTTCACAGTTGCTGAGGGTCTTGCTTAGTTGCTGAGGCTGACCTCCAACTCATGATCTTCCTGCATCATTCTGCACAGGCTAAAGGTGTGCAGCATCACTTTTAGCTGTGTTACATGTTTCTACAAATTTTCTAAAGAATTAAAGATAGTATTTGTGACACACACACATAACAACACTATAACAATTGTGTTGAGATCACAATTGCTAATTCTTTATTCTTATTCAGGGAATATTTTCAATGTAATAGTAAAGAGACAATTTTTTAGTAAGAAATAAAAAAGGAGAATAGAATATTTTATATTTTGAACAAATGGGTTATGATAGGAATGTCACCTACCTATCTGTGACATTTGAATATAAGTATGGTATTTCAAATAATGATTAGAAATGATTGACATTAATAGATCATATTTTAAGTATTAGCAACCACAAAAATCATAATATTTTAGAAAAAAACAAATAATCAGAAGTCAAGAAATAAGTTTTGTAATCTGACCTGTATTAAAATCAGATTATTAAATTATGGTATATTGAAAACAAATAGAAGTCTTTAAGATAAACATTACTAATATTTAAAAAAATAGATATCACTGAGTTTCTCATGAGGATCATTACAATTTCACAAAATTAGACAGACTCAATGAAGGATAAAATTTTCTAGTAGGTTGAAACATGACACAAAATGAAACTTTGTAGAGAAACAAAATTTTGCAGTGCCCCAATACCTTACTTGCAAAACTCTTGGGTATAAGGAAAATGTAATTTTATTTTAGAACCTGATTTTTTTGTCATTACTGAGAATTAAAGAAAGTTTAATGTGGAATGTGGCCATCTAGAATGGTGTGGCATCCTAACTGGTGGGATATTACAATTTTGTCTCTTGCAGGTGCTCCAAGTGACCAGAGCAGTGGTACCTCTTCTCCTCTTTGTGACAGTGGCTTGCATCTCAACTATCATCCGAACAATACAGTAAGATGTCCTAGGCATAGTTAAGACTAATGAGGAAGTAACACACACTCACACACATACCAAGAAGCATATGTGTACATAAAACACACACTCCCACAGACAAAGATACCCACACCCATATATATACATACATACACACATATGCTTACACATTTTTCATAGACAAATAACTATTAAATCTGATTTATTTTATAAATATTAAATTTTAAAATTCTTTGTTCCTTCATCACTTATGTAATATAATAAGTCAGGAAGAAAAAAATAAGTAGGCCAGTGATCTTATTTTACTTTATTTATTTATTTATTTATTTTTGAGATTTCTCTCCTCTCAGGATTGTCTATATATTAAGTACTTTGTTATGAAAGCTTTTAACTTGGACAGATCACAAATAACATGATGCAATCATTATGGAACATATTATGTAAGTCCATACTATACATTATTTGACATGATTTTTATCATTTTCTCTTTTAATTATTTAGCCAAAAGTAATTCTTTAGTGTTCAATTTCTTAGAAATCTCTCTGTATAAACAGGAAATTACAGCAGTCATAAAATCCAACCTATACATTATATTAAAATGTACATAAAATGAACATAATTGTTTCACAGACTTTAATACATTTTTAATGTTTATTTCCACTTGTATATTTTAGTGAGTAGATTTTTTTATTTCATAAGTATTTTTGAAATTTCTTACATTTCAACTTTCAAAATACATTTCAAAGATAAAACAATTCTCTCTGGTAATATGTAGATCTAACAAATATACCCTGGGTTTACATTTAGGAAGAGAAGCAAGTTGACTTTAAGTAATATTTTATTTCTCTGTTCCATGTATTAAAATATACAAAGCCTCTAGCTTCTCCTTCTGACTTGCATGATTCATCCTCAATTTGCTGAATTGTGACATTTTATTTCATGTTTTTGTTTTTGCATGTTCATGTCCAAATGGTCTTAATTGTGCCCTACTGCACCATAATTATTCCTTAGCTGAATGTCTAAAGTCACCAAGTTTTCTGTTTCTCTTTTTTCTCTTTTCCCCTTATAGAGAGGCTTTGGCAAGACCAATGTTTATTGTTACAAATTTAAAGATATCTTATAACACCAACCACATATGGTTATATTATCTGATGTTTTTCATTCTATAGATAATATTTAAAGCACCAATAACCTGAGAACAGAAAGATCTGAATGATTTTAAACTTTAGTGCCCTAATGTGAAAACTACATTTTTTTGTGTGTGTTCCCATCAGATACTTTTTTCAATTCAATGGATTAATTCTCCAACCAAGGTTTTTTATTTGTTTGCTTTTTCTGTTTTTTTATGTTTCTAGAGTTGAACCCAGGGCTTCATGCATTCTAGACAAGGGCTTGACCACTGAGCTATACTCCCAGGCCTGATTTCTTTAATCCTTTAGCTTTCAAGATTTCTTTGCCCACTCTCTTTGTTTTCCTCCATGAGATTCCTTTAACACTCTCAGTGACCCTGCACTTCCTCCTACATGCTGGTGCACCTGCCCCTAGCTGAGGTGTGAGCTGCCTCTTCCCACAGCTGACTCCTCTCATGAGGAGCCCTGTGCTCGGGAGTCAGTGGGCCCTGGGGGTGGGAAGACAAAGGCAGGTCCCTCCAGAGCCTCAGCAGATGGGGTGGTGCCCCTCCTTCAGGGAGCTTCATCTTTGGCCAGGGTGTTGCCACTTCATCCTTGGTTCCTTCAGTGCTCATAGGTTTCTTTTGAAAAATTTCCCTCTATGTGTTGTTCTCACAAGGATCTCCATCTCCATCTCATCTCTCTTCCTAAGACCCGCCCCCCAAAAAATCATAATAATATTTGTGATTTACTTCAAAATAGGAGAAAGCTGCTTGGTAATGTGGATCTAATGCTTGTCTGATGTCCTTGGACTCCTCTAGAATAATGAGGAACAGAGAAGTCAGAACAAAAGGTCTAAGAGAAGGAATTATTCTGGTTTGTTTTCAACTCATTTTATTGTTGTACAGAGAAACAACTATGGAATAATGTCATCATTTAGAAAGCTATAATTATAGGGAGAAAATTACTCAGTAGTTCTATAGATGGATATTACAAACAAATCCAGTTGTATAAGATTCAAAATACCAGTTGCCACATTTTTTTTTCAAATTGGAGCTATTTCTTCTCATTTGCAAGAAGCATATTTTATTCTCATTTTTAGCATTACAATTGAAATGTCCTTTGACAATGCTAAGGAAACTTTATTATAAAGGTGCTTATGATGTTTTAGAAGATCAAGATGCATGTACCTTTAGATTAGATAACATTCAAAATAAAGAAGATAATCTCAATGTGTAAGATTTTTAAAACTTGCTGAGAATCATGGAAACACTTCTCTTGGTATTTAGGGAAGCCATTAATAATGACTCCTGACCCAAAAAGTTTAAAAATCACAGCTACAGACAAATTCATGAAATAACTTTAAAATAAGCATCTAAAGAACAGTAGTGTTCTAATATATATTAGTGTTCTAATAGGAGGCAAGGGCTATAGAGATTTTGAACACCTGACTTAGCTGAATTTAAGAAGTTTAGAGACTACAAACCAAATGTATGCTCTGCTGTTCACATGGAAAATATTCAACTTAGCAAGCCTAAGAGAAAGTGACTTCTATATATCTTTAATATATAAAATATCAAATCAAGATTCTAAAGGAATACCAAAGAACACATATATTTTCATATATGCCAATTTGTGACACCTATCAATATTTTTTGTAAAACGTTATGTTCACCTTTCCATGACTATTATCATCTTCAATGTTTTATATTCACCTTTCCATGATTATTATCATCTTTAATGTTCCATTGCCCTTATTTTTATGCTCTTTAATATTTTCTATCTTGTTCATTCATGAGTTTATTCATTTTTAAATAAGCTGCCTAAAATATGTAATAAAAATATAAAGTAATGAACTGAAAAAAAATCTGAATTATTCTTTCCGTTTTTCCCCCTCTGATAATGAATATAAATGCTGTGCTGAGATTTCTCTTTGAAATTAGAGAGGTTTGGGTCTGAGTGAATCCTGGAGTTGGTCACTGAGTGGCAGGCTGCCATGGTGAATTGACAGCTGTAGAACTTCTCAGGCATATGCATGTGTACAGGGTCCTGGGAGTGGGTTTCAGCTGTGGGATGATGTAGGCTGTGATGTAGGACTCTTTACATGCTGACCACCTATAACAACCAAAATAATAAAGATACTCCACATCCCATGCTGACCACCCATGACATCTTCCATGAAGAACTGACCTCCCAAATGGACTGGCATTTGTTATATATGATGTGAGACCAGTAGAAAGACTGATTTAAAACCCTGGGACGCTCTGGCCTAGCCACAGAAACCAGTCTGTTTGCTCAAGTCTGGCACACAGCAATTGTTTCCCCATGTAGTCTCTCAAAGAAGAGTGGCAAGTAATAACTCGTTGCTTCTAAAATAAACAGGCTTTGTTTTTTCCTCTGCAAGATGAGCCTTGTAATATTTTTATCTTGCAAAGATGTTCCAAAGTGTTTAAGAAGATAAAAAAAATGAATTATAGAGAAAGATAATAAGCAACAGTAGTCGTACTATTACTAGAAGTAGTAATGATTTCTCCTGGAAACCTCATGTTTAGAAATAGGTCTGCCCATTATTCAAGGTTATTTCTTTTGAAAACACATTACTTTCCAGTATTTACTTACTGCAACTAAATGACTCTTCTAATCAGCCTGTTGTTATCCGTAAATGTAAAAATTCTGTTAGCCTTTTAGAGGTACTGAAATTAGCATTGAAGCTTGGTGATCTGTTTTGGTCTAAGCACTTCTTCATTCATTACTGACTATAATCTTACCAGTTATTACTTTTAATATCCCTACTTTGTAAATAGGCACAATAAGACACAGAGACTTGAAATAACTTGACCTTAGGTTAATAGACTGGGCAGTTGGAAAATTGGGATTAAAACCTGGGTGGTCTGGTTCTCATTGGGAAACTGAGCCACCATCCTGTTGAATTGTCCCCAACTGACCCCATGGCACATGTTGACCATCTGCAACATCCCTCATGAAGAACTGAACATACATCTTGTGCTGACTAATTAGGACATAATATGAAACATTGCTTTTTTGTCTTCACCATTACCAGATAATCATTATAAGCAATTTTGTTTTAAGCAAAGGACATGCATCTCAGAGGCTGAGTAGTTCAATTAGTCCCCAACAGGGGTCCCCTACCCTCACTGGCTGAACTTAGCTAGTTCAACTTTTTGAGTATTTTAAGCATCTCCAATGATAGTATATCCTGAACATAATATTATTCTTTTCAAATCCATTTAAGGAAATTAATTCCTGAAGGTAATGCTCAAACATATTTATACAACTTCAAATCTAGATTAAAATAAAATCTTCTAACACCATCATTCAAAAATTAGTGAATAGATGTGACAATTCAGCAGTTCTCTGGTCAAATGAAACCACAACACACTTACACTCTGTGTCAACTGCTGTTGCAAAACAATTTTAACAATGAATCTGGAATAAAACGATGTGGAAATGCTCAAATTTCTTGACGTCTCCTCAATAAATGAGGGAGGAAAAAAGACACCCATCCAGACTTACATTACATGTAATTTCAAACCAGCAATAATTGCCTCAATATGACATCAAAACAATACAAGAAAATGTCAGGTTTTATAAACACGAAGCTAAAACAATGAGCCAAAACTTCCCTGAGCAATGTTTTGAAATCTGTTTTATAGAAAGGCTCATTCATTCAAAAATATTTGCAAGTAAATGATAAATTATATGCACTTATAATGATACTTGCCTCGCACTTAGCAGGTACTCAGAAAATATTGTCTAATTGAAAGAATAACGGCTCCTTTTTATTTTTGTTGTATCCTGCTGCTTTGCCCCATCTCTCCCACTCCTCAGTGGATTCAGTTCTGCCACACATTCTTTCCTCCCTTCCACATCTGCACCCCCATGTATTTTCACTAGCATTTTTTTTTCATCTGAATGAATTCTTCCATACCTTCACGCAGAATTCCATTAACAGAGAGGTTGACAAATACAATTTTAATGTAAATCAGTTTGGGTTAGTTCTCAGGAAGAAAAAAGTCTTTAAAAATATTTAACATGAAGGAAAAAACAACAACAACGGTGACCCACAAATGAAACGAGTTTCTGGCACAGAAACCCAAAGCAAGGAAGCAAACATGAATCTGAATGTTTGAACATTTGTTTTCTTTTCAGGACACTCTATCATGTTCCTCATGGCCAACATCTCCAGGCTTGAGATGGGAGAAGCGATGGTGTGACCTCAGACTGATCCCTCTGCTTCACTCCCGCTTGTCCCAATATGTTCCTGGCACAGATTTGACTCGGTGAGTTCACGTGGGCTCTGTATCTTGTTGATTGAAAAGAAGAGACCTGTAATCCAGCTTAACATACTATGCCCTCTCATGCCAATGTTTAGCATGTTCCTAAAGGGCCACTTCAGGATAGATGGAGGCAGTAAGGAAACCTAGGGGACTGGCCCATCTGGTCACTCCTCTAGCCCAAGGTTGCCAGGCAAGCAGCTATATGGTTCACCTAGCATGGTCCTCTCTACTGCTTGTGGCTGTCCAAGATCCTGTAAGTGCATTAGGGAGCATCTCCCTAGAGTGGCCAGTGTTGGAAATCCACTGCAGTGTGGATATTCTTGTCTTCCTTTTATTTATTTAATGATATGACTACTTTTTGTTACACCTTTGACCCATGGAATATTTTAAGTGTACTGCAAATTTTTTGAATGAATTTGGTATTTTCTAATTATCACTTTTGTTATTGCTTTCAAGTATAATTTCATGCTGAATGATTTCAATCCTTTCATATTTATTGAGGCTTGATTTTACCCAGCTGATGGAGAATTGGGAAGACATTTCCATATGCCTTTAGAAAGGATGAATATTGTCATTTTTAATACAATGTCACACATATTTCTAGTAGGTCATATGGGGTTTTGAGTGGTTCTGAGCTTTGGTATTATTAATGATATTTTTGGTTTTTTATGGTGCAAAGTATTTAGAGGGATGTGTTACAAGTCTCCCATTTCCATGATAGTATTTTTCTCCTTTTAGGGTGTGTCAGCATTCACTGTATATATTTAACTTTATGTTAGTATATACAAGAAGATTTAGAATTATTCCTGATGTGTAACTTTGCCTTTATGATACATCCTATGTCTCTGAAAATATCCTTGCCTTCAAGTATATTTTATTTCCATTAGGATAAATACTAACCAGATTATGTATTGTTCTATACATTTTATAAACTCTTTTTTCAACTTTTCTTAGTTCTTTAAAGCTATCTCTTCAGATTTGTATATATTTGGATTTTCCCTTTTTCTTTTTTTTTTTAATCCAAAATAACAATCTTAGTCTTTTAATTAGATTACTTAGTTTAGTAGCTTGTAATATGATTACTGGTCTATCTAGGACTGCATCTACCCTCCTAATATTTTTGCTGAACAAAACACTAGCTTTTTGTGATTGAATGTTTTATTTTGATATAATTGTGAATTTACAAGCAGTTATGAGAAATACTACGTAGAGACTTTATATACTTTAGCTATTTTTTCCAAATGGTAATATCTTGCAAAAGCATAGTGCAACATCATGGCTAGGATTTGGCATTGATAAAATCTACAGATCATTCAGATTTTATGTGTGTGTGTGTGTGTGTGTGTGTGTGTGTGTGTGTGCTCAGTTCTACAAAACTTCATCCCATATGCATACTCCTGTATTTACTAACAGTCAGCTACAAAATTTCTCTGTTTCCATGAGAATCCACCTCTAGCCCTCTGACCTCACTGGCACCTGCCTTCCTATCCCAGGGTGTCTCTAATTGTGAGAACTTGTTCTGTTCCTTATCTCTCTTTTGTAATTTAAAAAACACTATGTAGCTTTGTTGGGTGGTATTTTTTTCTCAGCAAAATTTCCTTGAAATTCTTCCAAGTGTTTGCATTTTTTAATTGTTCATTCCTTTTGTTTTTCATAGTGGTATTTTATGATGTAGACATACCACATTTTAAAAATTGATAATTTGGAGGATATCAGGTTTGGGGTGTTCCAAATAAAGATACTGTGAATATCTGTATAGGCATTCTTGTGTGGATAAACATTTTCATTTCTTAGGGTAAACACTCAAGAGTACAATTACTGGGTTGGATTACAAAGCATGTTTAGTCTTTTAAGAATCAATTATTTTTCTAGGGTGATTGTAAAATTTTACATTCCCACCAGAAAGGTATAAGTGATCCAGCTTTCCACATGTCTCTCATCATTTGGTATTGTCAGCATCTTTATTTTACCTCTCTGATATATGTGTTGTAATATGTCCTTGTGACCCTGATTTTCATATTCCTAATCTTTTTATCCACATACTTGTCTTCAGTTCATCCCCTTTGTTGAATGTCTGTTTAGTATGTCTTTTGGATATACTAATGGATAGTTTGTTCCTTAGTCAGTGAAAATCCATTATATAGTCAAGGATAAAGTCCTTTATCTCAACATATTGTTGTTTTAATTTAGCCTAAATATTAAACCATACATGTATGACTTATTAGTTTAATATAATTTTTGTCTCAGAAAATTCTAGAAATTTAAAACACTTTGTCTTATTCATCTGTTTCTTGCCTTTGAGAATGTTTCATTGATACATATGTTTTAGATGTTTCAAGATATATTATTCTTGCACATACTTATTTATTCAAATATATCCTTCTAGTAATCTTTCTGCTTTTATTCATTCCTTTATTTTGGTTCTATTTACCTTCTGCCTTAAGAATTATCTTAATATTTTCACTAATGCTTTTTTTATTGTTTGTATTTTTCTTTAGCTTTAACTTTTTTTAAAAAAAAACTGTCCAGTTACATTATGTAAAGAAACTTAGCTAAATTAATTTCAAGGAAAAAAGGAATTATTTGGATGAGTCCAGATGACTGTTTACATTTTTATTTTTGTGATGTTTCAACACATCAACAGCTTTTAGCAACTGAAATAATGGCACTTAATAAATATTACAGTCATTAGAAGTTACAGACATAGCACTATTCAGAATGGCTTTCAAAGCAATTCAGATTCAAGAGCTAATTTATTATTCACTTATGTACTCGATAAAGATTGATTTAATGTCTATAAGTGGGAGGAATTGTGTTTGGTCCTTTCCTTGAAGGTACATAAAAACTAATGGCAAAGGATTCCGTGTGTGGGTGTTGGGGTGGGAAAGATAAATAAACAGCCCATGTTGGAAAATACAACAAATTATTTACCCTCCAAATCTAAAGTATTATTTTTTGTTGATTTTTGCCAAAGGCCATAATTTCAAACTTTGATCATGTAATACCTCTCATCATTAATTGCATCCAAGTTATGCTACTTTCATGATATTGTGTCAATTAGAATTGATACATCTCAGTTTATAAGTGATGAAAGGTTTATGTTTATTTCATATCAGTGGTCTTGATTCATAAATATCTATCTGCTTTAAAAGTTGAAGCAGGTCATAATATTGCATAATATTGTAATAACAAAGGTATTAAAATAGAATGTAAATCTTATGGGGATGTTGGTAGTTTTTACTCTCTTTGAATTTGATTTTCCTTAGTGAAAAATGAGTTTATAAAAACGTGTGTGTGTGTGTGTGTGTGTGTGTGTGTGTGTGTGTGTGGACATTTTAATTTGGAAGAAATAATATTTGTTTCTTTATTTAGCATACTTCATTGCTCAAAAGGACTCACTGTAGGGACAAGTGCACGGAGTACTATGTATCTGGCATATGTTAAGGGTGTGTGAGTGGCAGGCCACTCCCCTTGTGCTAGGCGTGAGTGTCAGGCTGTTTACCCCATATGCAGAGCCCTGGGCGTGAGGCCATGTGTTGCAGTACTTGTACTTGCTCCATGGCCCACTCCTCCATCGGTTGCTGCAAGGACAGTTAGCAGAAATTGCATTGGTGGCTGCCAATAATCTGCTTAGCTACTGCCTGAGTATATATACATGGTAACTGCACAATAAAATCAGACCTGCTTCCCGCTTGGTCTCCAGGGGTCTTGATTAGCTACTCTGCAGCCACACTCTCCTCTACCCTGTTTGGTGGACCTCCTCGCTGGACGAGAGAGAGCCCATGCAACTCACTACACATTTACTGAATGAATTTTAATTGACAAAGAATTTCATTTGTTATTTGGCAGAAGTACCACCTACTGTTTGTGTCTTCAACATTATGAAAAACAATAGTCTTGAAATGAAGACCAATGCTTTGTACTCTTACCTTTAGAAAATTCCAAGTGACAACAGAATTTCTAGTTCCTTCGATGAACATACACCTTGATCATCCTGAGGAGAGGGTATGTGAAGTGGTGCTATACTGGGGACTCAAGGACGAAATTTAGTATCTGAACAGTTGGCAATGGTGGTGCCTACCATGAGAAAATGCCTTTCCATAAGCCAATAACTGAGTCTACACAAATGGATGCCAGATACAAGGCAGGTTCATAATAAATACTCAAATCATGGTTTATTTTATGGATGAACTTTTGGGGGCTGTATATTTTAAGGGCTCTAAAGAGGATGCAGAATCAGTGAGTACATAAAGCAGAAAAGTAGTACAAAAAAAAGCAGGGACTATCTATGATACTATCTAATATAATAGAAGGTATTATAAATGAAACTTGAAATAGCAAAAAGTGGTCGGAAAACCAAAATTTGAGGGTGTTCAAGTTGCTTCTGAAAAATTATGTAGTATTTTCATATAATCTACTTGCATTCTCCCTTATACATTATATAATCTCTTGAATGCTTATAAAACCTAATGCGATGTAAATGCTCTGTAGATAGTTGTCATACCACATTATTCAGGGACTATTGACAAGAAAAAGATGTCTGTATCTGTTCATTGCATAAACCAATGTTCCCCCAGTACTTACCATCCATGTTTGGTTGAATTCATGGAGGTAAACCCACAGATGTGGAAGGCTGACTGAATGAGTATCTGTCTCTGGAAAAGGTCATACTTTAGACAACTCTAGACCAACTTAGCTCAGTTCTTTCAAACTGGGGTAATTATTTTGCCAATTTTTTCCTATTTGTTTTATTTCCTAAGTTTGTAAGATACTTATTCAAGGGTACATACTTATCATCTGCATTTAATATGTTTTATAGCCAGAGAAGGATAGTGTATTAAGGAATTTGAGTATCCATAGAAAACTGAAAACAAAACAAAAAAACAATTAAAAAAGAATTACTTTTGAAGTAGTATATTCCAGAAAGTTTTATGCTCAAATAAAAGAATTCTGATTGATAAAGTATTAGAACACATATTTCTAAAACTGATAATTTATATAAG